TTTTTTCTGTTGACCTCCCTTCCCTTCCCCTACCCCTTTCCCCCCACCCCCCATAATTTTTTTCTTTAGTTTTTATACTTTCCTTCATATCATTTGTTCTGTCAGGTGTTCCCTGGCCATCGCCTTGCCCATCTCCTTCCTCTCGCCCACCTTCTCGCTACCAGTCAGGTCCCAACTCTCTTCCACCTCGGGCAGCCACCCCTACACGGCCGCCCTCCAGGCCCCCCTCGCGGCCCTCCAGGCCCCCGTCTCACCCCTCTGCTCATGGTTCTCCAGCTCCTGTCTCTACTATGCCTAAACGCATGTCTTCAGAAGGTACAATATACCACGATTTGTTCATGTTTTTTTTCTTTTTAATTTTTTATTATTTTTATTATTTTTTTTTGTCTTTGTTTAACTCCTCCGTGAGTTTTTTTTTGTTTTTTTTTTTAATTATTGACGAGAGTTGTTTTGGTTTTTTTTTTTTTGTTGTTGTTGTTGTCGTTGTTGTCGTCGTTGTTGTCGGTTGTTTTGTTGTTGTTGTTGTTGTTGTTGGTTTTTTTTTTTTCCTCTTCATTACTTAACCTGTAATTTGTGTTTAACTTTAGTTGATCAGACTATTTCTATTAACCTTTTTATTTTTTTTGTTTGTTTCGTTGGTTTGGTTGGTGGTTTGGTTGGTTTTTTTTTTTTTTTTGTTTGTTTGATTTGAAGAGCTTTACAAAAACGAAAGAAAGCTGTGAAATTTCCCAAGTTTGGTATGAAATTAAACTCAGCTTTATAAACGCTGCTCAGTGTCTTAAATTAACCAACAGCAATATGCAGGACCCAATAACTTTAGAGAGCATTTTTAGAACTATAAATTCATATCAAATACCAATTTTACCACAGTTGTTCCACAAAAACCATAACTAAATCATTGAATTACCTCTTGTAAAGCAACCAATGACAATAATGATAATAAAAATGCTGTAATCAGAGGAGTGAACTGTGGAATGGAGTAGGATGAGCTGCTTCAAAGGTGAATTTGTAGGAAATTTTTATTCATAAAAATAAAATCAGCTCCGTAGCAGTCAATAATACGCAGAGAAAGGCTGACCTGTGAGTCTTTGGTGGCTGTATGCAGAATTATCCCAACTAAATTTGTCTTGGGAGGGCACAGTAAGGAACGTGGTTTATCATTTTTATTTGAAGTGCACTTAAACCCTGCACAACACTGTAGCAAACCTAGAAAACGTGAAGTGGTTATGCTGAGCTCCCTGGAAACTTGCAGTGGGTGCTGTAGCTGGCTCCACTGGAGCTGTGGGAGAGAGAGGAGTGATCCCTCAGACTGAGCAGGAACACTGGGAAATGCTCCTGAACAAAAAGTGGGTGGTAGCCACATCTGCCTGGCCTACTGTCCATTTATTGTGGGGTAAGGAATTGAGAATCCACCTGCAAATTGAATTATTTTTTAGCACTTTGTGGTTGGTTTGTCAGGCATGCAGTGAAGTGCTGCTTACTGCAACGTTTAATTCCTACTGCTGCAAGGTTATTCCTGGGAAATGTGTGTTCTATAAGATACTCACCTGTATGAAATTTTCATTGAGGTGAACTGGAGATTCATGGTTAAAATAGAGGCTGACATTTAAAGATTTATGTAACCAGGAGGGGTACTTGGTATTTTAGAAGTTTTTCTGAAACCCAAAAAGCCATTATCTGAACTTGACCCTATTACTGACCTACGTTAAAAGCAAACTGCCATCAGCCAGATTCTGTTCACACACGGGTATTTTCCTTTTGAAGTATCAACACTTGAGTCTAATCCTGTAAAGAAAATGTTTATTAGGATGTAAGAACTGTATTGCTGCTTAGATTATGGTGTGGCAGCTGTACAGGCTGTGCAGAATTCCTGTATTCACTTATGACTTTGGCTTCTGGTGTTAAACATGCATGACTTGAACCTTGGGATAACAATCCCTTGTTTAGTTGCAGTTTTTGCTGACTTGTAAATGAATTGTGACCTGCTGCAGGCAATTCAGCCTCGCTGCAGAGAATGCTCTGCTGAAATTCCCCAAGAGCATTGGTCAGCCAGTGGTGACTATAAATGGTTGGGATCACTGACCACCTGACAAAAGCGCTGGGAAATTTTTATTTTCTGGAAAAATCTTTGATAGCCTGGAACTGTGCTTATCCAGAGGCAGCTGCACCACTGACCTTTATGGCTTGGCTTGCACTCGGCAGTGGTGGATGCTTGGATGGAAATGTTTTAAATCCAGGCCATGCACACCTGTTTCAGTGCTGATAAAGCCTCTGAATACCCAGGAGCTGCCCTGGGGAGGTGACGAGTGTTGGCAGCCTGGCTGAACCAATGGCTTGGCCTTTTTAGGATATCAGTGCCAATTGCTTGATTTTATTGCTGCTTTATTAAGAATTTTAAGATTGAATGCAATTTAAAGAAGAGATGTTTGGTTTTTCTGTGGTGAACATTAAGCACTTATCGTGTTGGGGTTGTCTTTTTTCCTCAGGGCCTCCACGGATGTCTCCAAAGGCTCAACGGCACCCTCGAGGTCACAGAGTCTCTACTGGTAGGGGTACAATTTCAAGTGGCTTAGAATTTGTATCTCATAATGCACCTGGGGAAGCATCTACTGCTGCAGTGGCACGAGGCAGCCCTTCAGGTGGGACGTGGTCATCAGTTGTCAGTGGGGGTAGGTAAAGCTTGGCTTATTGCAGATGGCTTGCAGGGGGATCCTTAGGATGGGAATGCTCAGCAGAATCCTGCCTTTGCAGGCAATTCAGGCTCTGAATAATCCAATACTGGGCTAAGGTTGGAGTGGGAGAAGGATGTTCCCAGATAGCTGAGTGAGAGTTGGTGCAATATTGTCCTAACCGTAGAGTCAGGTGCTGTGTGTAGGGAAAGGAAGGAAGAGTGTGGGAATTAGTTGTTGAAAGGATTTGTTTTTAGGGGATTTCTTGGAGGAGTCAGGAGGAGTTAGAGATTTGCCACTGCATCCCTGAGTTTGGTTATGGCAGCGTGGCTGGATTGTGGTTTACAAATGAAGGAGGTGTTTGGGTAGAGGGAGGTTGGTGTTAAAAGATTAAATGATAGTCGAGTTAAGTTGGATGTATTTCTCCTTTAAAATTTACACGGATTTTAAGTGGTGATGTTGTTCTTGGCTACTGTAAGAGCAGTTATAGTGTCTTCCTTTCTTAATCAGTTTATATATTTTTAAATACTTGATTTAAAAGCTAAAGCTCAAGTCTTGTGCCGCAGGTCTAGTCTGGAGCTCTTGAGTTGACACCATGTTTTGATGGGCTGTCAGGAGCTGGGTGTTTCCTTGAGGGCAAGAGAGCAACAGTTTGGTCCTTTTTAGGTACTTTTTGGGTATTTTTTAGAAGTGCAGAATTCTAGAGGAGCGTAGTGGGACCACATTTCTCAGAAAGAAGTTCTAAATTAGACCCACATAGACTTGTTGCCTTGTGGAAAAAACTTCACCTCTTCTGTTGTGGCATTATTTGTGATTCACCTTCCCTGTTTATACATTATTAACATGCAAGTAGGACTGTTAAACCATTTACCTGCCTTTCTGCTCACTCACTGGGAGTTAATATATGACAAAAAGCACAAGTGGGATGAGCAGGAAACAAGAACTACAACTTACTGTTCAAAGAATACACAACTTTCCTTGCTGCTTTAACACAGGGGCAAAAATATACCTAAAAACACTCATTTTTCAATAGGCTGTGTTGTTTTTTTTCCAGCTGGCAAACCTCCAAAAGAGGACGCTGTAAAATGGATGTGTTTTTTCAGCCCTCTTAAAAAATGTTTTACATCTCTTTGTGTGGAGACCTGACCACCTTTTGTGTTCTGCCTGAAACTGGGTTAATGTGAGCTGTTGTAGTTGTACTACTGGGGACTTGGGGAAGCTTTTTGCAGATTCTTGGTGGGATTAGAGGGCAGTGATAAATTTTGGGGGACAATCTGCAGAGAAATCACCCCATTATCTGAAATGCTGCGTTGTAAAGAACTAGGAGATGTGCCTGAAAGGTAAACAGGTTTTCAGTTACTATCTAATGTCTCACAAAGTGTTTCAAAGCATGTTTTCAGCCATTTTAAAACTTAAAACAAACTGCTGAGCAGGTGGGGAAGCTCATCCTATAACTGTTTTTTCCTGTTTGTTTCTAGTTCCGAGATTATCCCCTAAAACACACAGGCCTAGGTCTCCAAGGCAGAGCAGCACTCCCATGGGACCAGCTCTGCCTTCTCCTCAGCCTGGTACTATTCCCACTGAATCTGTTGCCATGCCTGTTCCAGCTGCCTCTCCTACACCTGCCAGCCCTGCATCCAACAGAGCAGTCACCCCTTCCAATGAAGGTAAGTGGCCCTCAGTACCTTTAAAATGCTCCCTTTCCCTAATTCCTGACAAGGAATGTGCCCAGGCAAGGGCAGAGCTGCTTGCTGAATGATGGGAAAACTTGGGATGAATGAAATTTTACTTTGAGTTCCCATTCCTCCCTGTTTTAAACAAAGGCTGGAGAGAGTCTTCTTGAGTTTTTTATGCTTAGTTTCTTGTGCCTTTAAATAAATAATATAGGTTTATAGGTGTCTGACTTAACTGGGGATTTCTTTTTCCAAACTGAGTTTTTGCCTCTTTTCTGTGTTAAAGAAATGCAGGCCACTGGTTTCAAAGAGCTATTTTGAACACTGCAAAAGAAATGGGGAAAAAAAACAACATTCAAGAGTACAGTCAAGTGTCTAAAAACTCTCAAATCTTTGTAGCATTCTGTATGAAGAGCTTGGAAAATAATGCTGAAAATAATTGGCTCTAAGTTGATAGTTGGTTCAGCCTGGTTAAGGTTTTGTGTATGGTGGGAGGGATGAGTTTAATTGTAGTTTTTTTTAATTTGACAGCAGGATGGGGAGAGAGGATGATCCTCCAGGCACCAACTAGGTAGCAGGAAATTTGTTACTCGAAAGGTTTTTCAAGCTAAAAATGGTTAAATCTCTCCCCTGTTTCTCTTTTGCCTTCTCTCTTCGGTCAGTTGGAGCTGTGTGTAAGAGAATAACTTGGGCAATTTCTTTTCCAGCTAAAGATACAAGGCTTCAGGACCAGAGGCAAAATTCTGCAACTGGAAACAAGGAGAATATAAAGCCAAGTGAGACTTCTCCTAGTTTTTCTAAACCTGAAAACAAAGGTTTGTATCCAAAGCTTTCTTCGTGTACCTGAGTGATGTAGGAATTGTGCACACTTAACCTGCTGTCCTGGCTGCTTTAGCTGGCATTTTAAGGAAGGCTTGGAGGCAGTCTGGTGTTCTCCAGTGAAATCTGGTCATGCAGTTGTGAAGTGTCACTTTGAAATGTTGTTTGTGACTCATTCCATCAACACCAAGTGTAGAGATGCTCATGTGGACGGTGTGATTTCACTTGTTTTTTTCTCCCCCCTTCTTTCTTTCCCCTGCTCACAGAGCTGCTTTTTAGCTGCCTTTGGACTGAATGTGTTTCTGCTTAGAGCTGTGCTCACAATACTTCTGAGCATCGTGGTCAGCAGAGCTTTTCTAACTGTGCTTTTTCCTATTATGCCTCACATTTGTTTGTCTCTGTAGCGTTGTTTGTTCATTCAGTTCTCAGAAAGGAAAAAAAAAAGATCTTTTCATGTTAAACTGAGAAGCAGATCCATTGATTATCTCGTTGGAGAGACCTTTAGGATGAGTCCAACCATAAAGCTCACCTTGATGAGTGTTTCTCCTTCACTTGCTGTGTTTTGAAATGCTGGCACAGGCTGGGTTGGGGGTTTTGTTGCATGTTCTTTGTGTTCAGAGAGTTCTGCAGTCCCTGCACCTCGGGGCTTCTGCCTTGGTGTGGTGCATCAGAACTAAAGATAAATCAGTTATGTAATGCTCTGCTTTCACAGAGGCTTTCTGTGTGCTCATACACGTAGGTCATGGAATTGTACCAAATTAAAACCCAAAATAAGGCGCTGGATTTTATTTTTCTGTCTGCAAAACCATTATCTTTCTGCAAACTTAGTACTGTGTATAAAACTTGTATTAGAAATGCTTGGACAACGTTGATCTTGTATTTGGCAGGTGTCTCTCCAATTGTTTCAGAGCATAGAAAACAGATTGATGATTTAAAGAAATTTAAGAATGACTTTAGGGTAAGTTTCTCTATGTTAATGGAGTCATGATTCTCATGTGCACTCAGATTATTTTAATGAATCGAACACGCTGCATATGTTAACAGGTCTTCATACTTTTGCTTAATTTGTGAAAATATATCTGTAAGAATTCATGTTAGGTATTGTAAAATCAATACTGACTCTTGTTTGTATAATTGCCTAATGCACATAAATATGAATATTGACTGTACACTGAAGACAGGACTTGAAACCTGTTTGATCATTAGGCACAAATAATTATCTCACACTCCATATGGAGGAGCTGTTGCAAAATTAAATGAAGAGTTTCGCGGAGGAAAATTGAAGATGAATTCATATTACTTATTTCCTGGTTATAAGGGTTTATTAAATCAGGTTAGCTTCTCAAGTGGTGCTGTTAAATCACTCAGGGGATGAGTCCAGAGGATTGTTTGAAGCTTTCCTGTCACTCCCTAATCAAAGTACAGGACACTTGAGTGGCTGAATAGCTCCTTAGACAGTGCCAGCTTAAACACTGTCAGTGCCCATGGATTTCTTTCCTAGTAGAAATGGAAATGGTGTTTCAAAAGGTCATTTCCAGATGATTTAGGCTTGTGGGACTGTGTTTTACTCTGTGTGTGTGATGGCATTAGATGTTCTCTCCTGAGTTTTGTATCAGTTTACTGAATATATCCCTTGGGTTTTTTCAGTTACAGTCCAGTTCCTCTTCAGATGCAGTGGATCAGCTGCTAAACAAAACCCGAGAAGGTGAAAAGTCAAGAGATGTAGTTAAAGAAAAGACAGAATCCACCCCTAAAGAATCTATCATAGAAGCTGGCAGTAACACCAACTCCAATGGTGGCAGTAGCAAACCCAACAGTCCCAGTATTTCTCCTTCCATGAGTAACAGCTCTGAGCAAAAGCGAGGGCCTGAGGTGACCTCCCAAGGTGTACAGACATCCGGGCCTGGAAATAAACAAGACAAAGAGGATAAAGAGGAGAAGAAGGACACTTCTGAGTGAGTAATAAGCACATCTTTATTAACATCAGGCCTTGTGTAGAAGTCATGACTGGGTGACACATTCCTGGCTCTAAGTGCTGTTACACAGGAGGAGCAACAGGGGAAGGGACTGCCCTGAAAGTCATCTCCTGACTCAGTGCAGAGCTCTGCTCCTGTTGATACCCTAATGCACATCTAAAAGTTTATTTCAATGGCTCACATGAGCTGTGGGATCAACTGGAAAACTTTTATGGATAGTTGTAATAAGAGTCCCTCAATGAAAGTGGCTTCTTGCCTGCCATGAGGTGTTTGACTTCTCAGAAATCTGACTCACAGATGGCAGTGAGGTGTTTCTTAAATTATTAATTGCAGATACTCCTGTGAAAAAATAATGCCCAACTTAATTTTTTTATTCTTTATGTTTAGGCAAGTTAGAAAATCAACACTTAATCCTAATGCTAAAGAGTTCAACCCTCGATCTTTTGCTCAAGTAAGTGATTTGATGCTGTTTAACGGATCTTTATAAGCCAACCTTTTCCTTGGAGGATACTCAGACTAACCCTGCCATATCCATTGCTCACCTCTGTTTATAGCCGAAACCTTCTACTACACCAACCTCCCCTCGTCCTCAAGCTCAGCCCAGCCCCTCCATGGTGGGGCATCAGCAGCCAACCCCTGTGTACACTCAGCCTGTTTGTTTTGCACCAAATATGATGTACCCGGTTCCAGTGAGTCCAGGCGTGCAGGTAAAGTGCTGCAAACTCCTCAACACTTCACAGAGATCCTCAGGAAGCTGAGCAGACTTAGGAACCATAGAATGGATTGGGTTGGGAAGGACCTTAAAGATCAGCTCATCACAGCTTGGGAGCTCTGAGTTAAAGCAGAGAAATAGTGCAGCTTGTGTTGCTTTTGTAAATATAAATCACCTTGTTGTTAAGTTTTGGCTGTGTAAATACTGACTTTTCCCAGTGCTCCCTCAATCTGGATGTTCAAATAATCCCAAACACTTGTAAATGCCAGCAGCCCACATTTATCGTGGATCTGTGCAGGTTTCCTCCCAGTCCTCCAAGCATAGTCTCACTCTCTGCAGCTCTTTCTTTGTTTCCAGCTGTGTCCCCCTGGTTTATGGTTTTTGTAGGGATCACTGGGATTTCAAATCTAGCTCCGTTATCATAGAATCACGGAATATCCCAGGTTGGAAGGGACCCACAAGGATCTTCAGCCCAACTCCTGTCCCTGCACAGACACCCCAACAATCCCAGCTTGTCCCTGAGAGTGTTACCCAAGCATTCCTGGAGCTCTGGGAGCCTTGAGGGCCATGCCCATCCCCTGGGGAGCCTGGTCAGTGCTCCAGCACCCTCTGGGGGAAGAACCTTTCCCTGATACCCAGCCTAACCCTCCCCTCACTCAGCTTTATAGCAGAAAGCTGCTGTGGGGCTGTCAGGTTGAGCCCAGTGCCTGCAGTAGCAGCAGTAGCGTTCCTGGGCTGGTTGTTGCCAACCATCTGGTCTTGGTTGTGTGTCCGTGCAGACTCAATGTCACTGATCCAAGAAAATCTCATAGGTTAGGCAGAGTTCACTAAACCATGGAACAGAACAGAGGGAAACACATCAAAGCTGAGTGGGGCCCCCACCCCAGCACACACTCAGTTTTTAAAGGAATATCATACCTTCAACTTCTTCTGTTTCAGCCTTTGTATCCTATTCCCATGACGCCCATGCCAGTGAACCAAGCCAAGACATATAGAGCAGGTAAAGGTGAGAATAATACTGCCTGTTTGGTTCTCAGTCTGCATGCAGCATGGTTAAATGACAAATGTTTGTGTGTTTTCTAATCCATGGTAATTTGGTTTCAGTCAATATTTTAAATGCTGTTTTTAATAAAGGGAAGTAAGTGGAAATACTAATGGATTTTTAGATAAACTAATTCAGGTTTGACTAATGGGGGTTGCTTGGCTTGGAATCCAGTTTGACAAACAGGAAAATATCTCTGTTACTTGGAGCATTAGGGTGAGCTGATCATCTCCTATATTCCATAAATATTCTAGGTTTGTTTAAAGGGAACCTCTCTGCTGGATTTCTGTACTGGTTTGCAGCAGTGCCCCAATTGGTGCTAAAATAGAGGGTTTTTATAACAACATGCAGAGTCACTGCTTCTTCAGGAAGAGTTTTCTCTGCTGCTCTTCTAGAAAGAGCTGGCTCCAGCTTGTTCTTGTTCATTCCTGCTGCCCCAGTGACTGAACAGCTGGACTAACAATGACAGTTTCAGTGTTTCAGTGACACCCGTGGCTGTGGAGGCACGATGGGTGCTGAGATGCTCAGTGCTGCTCTTATTCCTGTGCTCCTGTTCCAGGGAATGCTGTAACTGTGCCCAGTGAATGCTTCTGCTGCAGCAGCCAGTGCTGCAGGGCAGGACCAGCACTGCAGCTCCAGTCACTGCAGGAGGAAATTGTTTCCTGCTGTTTAGAAACAAACAAGTGGCCTTTATCAACCTAGGGGAGACAAAACCCTGCAATGTATTTCTGTGTTAAAACACAGTAACTTCACTGTGGCCTCACCCCTGAAATCTTCTGGTTGGCAACACTGTTTTAATCAGAAATACATTGCTGAGTGCTGGCTTGCTGGGTCAGGCAGCTCCAATTCTGAATTCCTTTTAAAGTTCAATATTTTTCTGCATATCCATCTGTGTGCAGCACAGCCCTGAGGGAGCTGCCTGGGTTACAGCTCTGTGCCTTTACACTGTTCAAGTTGCCTCCTGTATTTACTTCTTTCTGTTGTTGATCTGCAGTGTAAATAAAATCACTGAGTGAATTTACTGATGTTTTCAACACTTCCCTCTCCTCTCCCTAAGGGATTTGGGGCATTGCCCCTGCAGAGGAGTTTAGAGGTGCCTGAGGTAGCTCAGTTAATAGTTGCAGCCTGACTGCAGGAAGCTGGAGCCCTCCTGGAGCTTTCCTGGAGCTCCCATGCCCATGCTTCGTAGGCTGAATTAGTTTGTTCCAAGTGAGTTGGGTGGTCACCTTCCCAGGAGAGCTCAGGTGATCCCACACTGCTCTGCTCTTTTCATCTTTCTTCCCTCTTAATTATTTCTACTCCTTATAGGTTTTTGTCTCCCTCGGTGTTGTCTGCGACCTAAAATTTGCTTTCTGCTGCCCTGAGGGGTAGCACAGAGTTCAAAAGATGTGAATACCTCGAGTTGTGGCTGCATGGAGACCTTTATGGTTCTCCCCTCAGCCATAAGCACAAGTCATTTTAAAATACTCAGATTTCCAGCTGATGGAACAGAAAAAGCCTTTTAAAGGGGACAGGATTAATTGGTTAATGTAGCTATCCTGATAAAACCTTTCTCTTCCACTTCTGATTCTTGTCAGTCTTTCTCTCCCTCTGCCTTCCTTCCTTCACAAAAAAAGGCAGGGCTGGGTTTATGGCTGTGTATATCCAGCCCAAAGAAAGTGATGAAAATCTTGTGTTTCCCAGAGAAACTCTTCTCCACACTGTTCCTTTTTGACAGAGCTCTAACCCATGGTTAAAGGTATGGGGTGATGATATTCCACGTAGTCCCAGTAACATTATTATAATATAGAACCTTTCAGGAAGCTCCAGATTTTTTCCTCTGTGTTTCTAACATAAGCCAACCTTTGTTTTGCAGTACCAAATATGCCCCAGCAGCGGCAAGACCAACACCACCAGAGCACCATGATGCATCCTGCCTCAGCAGCAGGCCCTCCAATTGTAGCTACTCCACCTGCTTACTCTACACAATATGTTGCATATAGCCCCCAACAGTTTCCTAATCAGCCTCTTGTGCAGCATGTGCCACACTACCAATCTCAGGTAAGAATCCTTTCCACGCTCCTCATCAATTCAAGCACAAATAATGAAGTGGTTCAGAGCTCAATAAACCCCCTTGTGTCCAGTCCTAAAGTCACCCTGAAGAGTTTCTGTGTTCTGGAGCACACGTGGTGATCTTGGAATGTGCTTCAAAGCCTGTAACAAATTTTAAGGTCCTAATGAATTTTAATGTCTTAACGAATATTAAGGTCAGTTTAGAAGTTGGCATTTATTATTGATATGGTTTTTTAGCTCTTTGAAGAGTTTCTTTAGGTCATGGCCAGCACATCTCCTGGTTAAGTGTTCTAAGAATAACTTACTTGGTGGACTGCTCTTACTTCAAAGGCTAATTTAATTGAATAAATGTATAAGCTTAGTGCATTATTAGAGTGGCAAAAATTGGATATGCCAATATTTTCTGCCAGTTTCTAGCCCTTAAATTTTGGAAACAACTGGGGCAGTCACAGCAGTCTGAAATGCTCAGCTCGCTCTGCATTCGAGCAAGGCCGAGCTGCCTCTCCTTCCATCATGACTGTTTAGATGACAAAAGTTTCTTTGGAGTAATTCTCCAATTAACTGTGTGTTTGTTTTTTTTTTCCTTTGTTCTGCCTGCAGCATCCTCATGTTTATAGCCCTGTAATACAGGGCAACGCTAGGATGATGGCCCCACCAGCACACGCACAGCCGGGTTTAGTATCTTCCTCTGCAACACAGTACGGTGCGCATGAACAGACACATGCTATGTATGGTAGGAAACGTTTTGTGTTATATGTAACTTTTTAAGTCCTTACCTTGTGCAGGGGATGTATTTAATCTCAGCCTTCAAACGTGGGTATCGTTCAGTAGATGTGGTTTATATTTCATAAGATGATGATGATGATGATGAGCAGAGCATTGAAAACTGAGCCAGCTGGTTTAAATGAAAACTCAAGTGTGCTGATTTCGGTAGGATACCAGTGACCAAGATGAGATTTCAACCTGGGAGCTGCTAAAGAATATCTGCTGAAAGAAGTTTGTTGAAGTTCTCTTGATGCTCTTGATACATCATCCCTCGTTTGTTCCTTGATTATAATTAGTACTTGTTTTATTGCAAGGTTATGACCTCAGTTTCAAACTTGACTTTAGTTCTGGCAACTAGTGAAATGCTGTCTTTATGATATTACTGGCATTATTAACAGTATGAACACTGCTGTTTAAGCAAAATAAACCATGTGTTGCTTACCTTTCTCATTTGGTAAGTCAAGAATAAGTAAATGGAACAGCTCATGTATTGCTCTCACTTGGACAATTAGTCTCTAGCATTATCAGATGGGCATTTTTCACTTACAGTGAAGTGCTGAAAATGTGGGTTACCTTGTGACAAAAGTAAAATGTGCAAGAACTTTCTAAAGCATTATAAATGTATGATAAATCAAGGCCCAATTTGGAGGAAAAAGAGCTCACTGCAAAACATGCTATTGAAAGAGGTAGAGTCAAGGTTGTTTAAGGCTTGGAAATTGTCATAAAATGTCAAAACAGCAGATGGTCTCTTGAAAACATGGCATTTCAATACTTGTTATAGCATCTGAGGAAAAGTTTTATTGGGTCACGTATATTATTGACTTAGATTCTAATAAAAGATTTTCTGTACCTTTAGACATCTTTGTATGTTTTCGGGTGCTTAGTTTTACACTGCTACTTAATGGAAGTCCATGATGTGTCATGAAAACTTACAGAGAATCTGGAGTTTAGTGGGAAATTAATTCTGATTTTTAAGAGGTGTCTTACCCATATGAAAACATCCTGTCAGATCACTGCAGTGGTGTGGTAACAGAGTTAAGAAACGAAAATAACTTATTTTGACGCTCGGAGGAAGAACATTTGAGCTCATTTGTGCTGAAGCTGAAATGGAAGTTACTTGTAGAGATTAATCTTTCTCTCACAGGTCCTTGCTAATTGTATTGCTTTGATCTTTTCAACTCTTGTGCTTGAGGTGTCCATGTAAACAGATCTTCTGTTTGCTTTTTCATTAGATTAAATAGAATTCCGATAAAGAGAATGATCAAAGGCTTTCAGACCTTTATTGGTGAAAACCCTCCTCTCAAATTCTAATTAAAATAAAACCAAACATGAGATAATCTGAGATTCGATTCAGAATGGTTGCATGTGACTTCCTAGCAATTTCCCATTGTGCACCATCCTTATCTTCTATAATCAGTGGGTTCTGCAGCGTTGAAGTACAAGCCCCGTTGCCTTGCTTGGCTTTGATCAGATGTCTGTATAGTTTTTTTTTTCACTGATATTCTAGCTTACAACTGTTAGATCTCATTTTGTGTTGGTTTTGCAGCTTGTCTGTTGTAGATATGTGACTACCTGCCAGTGCAAACAACTAAGTTGGGTCAAACTTGAGAATTCTTTGGTATTTCCTGCCATGTAATTAAATATTACTTTCCCAAGAGCACCTAATTTAACAGAAATGGCCTGTCCTCCTGTGTTCTTTCAAGTAGCTACTTGGTGACTCTTCTAAATACTCTCCCACCTTCCAGTAAATGATGGAGTGCTTGAAATTTTTGTTACTGAAACCATTCAACCCAAGAGGATCATGAACTCCATGTGACAGACCTTTTTTTAAGGGTGTGTTCTTGCCCCTGTGCAGCCGTGTTTAGTGAACATGAACTGTCTCCAACGTACCCTTCACCTTCCAAGGTGACAGTGACACATGGAATGACTCCTGATGTTCTGCAGCACCCTCTCAATTAACATTTTTGCAAGTCTTCCATGTGCTGAGTGCCTGAAGACCTGGCCCAGATGGACTGTGCTTCCTCAAAGTGTGTCCAGCTGTAACGTGTCCACTTCAGCTTCCATTTATCCATGTGTGGGGAAAAGGCAGGAATGCCGGAGGTGACCAATCTTATGGAGCTAAAGAACACTATGTTGGAATTGTTCACATCTGACTGAGTGACTATAAGAAAATATCCATAACTTATGCTCTGTCTTTTGGGAATCTTAAGTTTACCCACATTTGAACTAAATATACCTGTGCACTTTGATTTTGGTCCTCTCTTAAAAAAAAAATCATTTGAAAGTACAGAATAACAACTTCCTGAGAAACAACCACCGCTGCTGCTGCTGCTTTTGATTTTGCTCAAACTATTTCCCTTTTGGCTCTTTAAAATTGCTATTTGATTTTTAAAAAATATATTATTACTTATTTTTAGCACTGATATCAGGACTCAGTGGGGCCCTTTTACCCTTCAAGGTACTGGTGCTTGCTTTGAGTTATTCCTGCAAAATTCACGCAGTTTTTCTCCTGCGTATGTGGTAGAGAGAAGATGTCTGCAAGAACTTCTGTGCTGAGACCTGGGGGTTGGGGGGGAAACTGCTTATCAGCTATTCCTAAGGTGTGAAATGTTTTCTGGTAAGGTCTGAAATTCCCATCTTCACTAATGGTTTGGGATGAGTTGAAATTCTGTGGCAAACAGTAACAGCCTGGCAGCCAAGAGAAAATTCCTGTCGATTTAAGGGACCCATCCTCACTGCCAAAAGTTTGGGGGTTGTTTTCCTTCCTGTCTTGTGAAGAGATAGCTGAATTCAAAATACATACAGTGACCTACACTTGGTGATAAGCACTCTTCCATTTTAAAGGAAAGTACTTTTGCCTAATGCTGTTTAATGGGATATTCCTGCACCTCTGGGATTTCCTTGCCGGTTCACAGTGTCACAACCCCGCTGTTGCCAAGAAAGAGAAGCAGAGCTGCGTGGTCCCAGTAACCCCAGCTAAAGACAGGACAGAGGAGTGTTCAGATCACTGGGGTTTTCCCCTCAAAATGGGGAAGGACAATGTCCAAACAACTTTCTTCCCATTCAGACGATAACAACGTCTGTGACGCTTCAGCTGCGGAGCCATCCCTGTCCAGGAGAGTTTGAAATGTGACACCTTTACCTGCCACACAGCCGACCTGGAGGTGTCGTCCTTCCCCTGCACAGCTGCACCTTGGGTTCAGAAGGTTCTGTGTCTGTCTGGCAGCTGCTGGCTCGGGGTGGCCTCCCAGTCCCTGTCCTTGGGCTGCTGGAGTTTGCTGGCCACGGTCCCAGTTTGGCTCCTGTGTCACACAAAGCCCAGACCAGGCTTCTGCTGCTGGTAGAAAATTTGGTTACCCGAGGGTGGATCTGTCCATTCCTGTGACAGTGAACTTGTGTTAGTTTTCCATGTGGCTGAATTGTTTCCAGATAATTTGGAGTCCTCTGAATAACTTAACTTTTGTGTTTAAGAACTTGTGTAAAACCAGACCTTGGTTTTACACAGATGCATTTCCTGGTTTTTGTGCTCTCATTCCTGTCCCCGCTCTCCCTTCCCCTTTTCCCTTCTGCATATGTTTTACTGGTCTGGTGTTGTCTCTAACTTTATCTGATTTCTGTCTCAGCAGTAGAGTAAATTCTATTCCCCTGATAGTACAATGGTGGATATAATATAAACTTCAGAGGATTCTCCAGGGACTAAGAGTGAACCAGTCACCAAAGTTGTCTTGGAACTGTTCAGAATGGCAGTGCTATAGCTGAAAAAGCAAGGGCCAGTTTCTGCTCTAGTGTAATTGCATTTTAACCTTCTTGTTACAGTGGACAGTAATAGACTGTGAATTGACATAAAGTTTCTTTTTGTTTTAATTAAGAACTGCAGACCTCAGTGTCACAGTTAAGAAGGAAAGCTTACTCGAGACTTGTGTTTCATCTCCACTCACTTGTAAAACGAAATATCTAGCTCTAATAGCAGCTAAGTAAATAAAAGTATCTGCATGGTTCTAGAGTCTTCAAAAAGAAATTTAAACAAAAAATTAAAACTGACACCTTTCCAGAAGATGGGAAGTATGCACGTGGCAAGAGGCTAATTTACCTTTCTATTTCCCAAATTCAGCATGTCCCAAAATACCATACAGCAAGGAGACAGGCCCTTCTTTCTACTTTGCCAGTGAGTTGGGTTTTTTGTACTAATTTTGATTGTACAGAAAAGCACTTTAGCACTTTCTAAAGAACCACATGTTAAAGGAATGGGACGTGTTGATGGAACAAGTTTCCTTGCACCAAACCAGGATGTGGAAAACGCAGGAAGGTTCCTCTCAGTGGGCAGAGAATGGAGCTTTGGAACAGATTTATGTGATCACAGGAAGCTGAGTTGTCAATTCTTCAAAAATGTGTGTTGAATATGGAGTAATCTCTGATTTCACTACCCAGTCTTTTCATCTGCAGCCAGAAGTGGGCTCTGAAAAATCCTTTCCTGTGAGGGAGGTGAGGCCCTGGCACAGGGTGTCCAGAGAAGCTGTGGCTGCCCCTGGATCCCTGGAAATGTCCAAGGCCAGGCTGGACAGGGCTTGGAACCACCTGGGCCGGTGGAAAGTGTCCCTGCCCATGGCAGGGGCTGGAACAAGATGATCTTGAAGGTCCCTCCCCACCCAAAGCACTCTGTGATTCTGTAGCCTCTGCTTAAACCTGTGGGAGCTGCCTTGCTCCCTTTTATGAGCCAAACAGGATTTTTACACCTGACCCGTTACCAGCTTCCTGAAAGGAGAAGTAACTTGGGCCTCATCCCTTCAAAAAGCCGTGGCTGAAGTTTTGAGCCCCTGGGAGGAAATAACTCGAGCTGCAGCCAAAGTGGAGGAAATGTTCTGTAGAGTTGCCACTGGAGGAATGCTGGGAGCAGCTTGTGGTGGTGCTTGTGTGACAGGGATGAGATGAGGGCTCCTTGGCAGGTTGAGCTTTGTCAGTTCCATTCCCTGGCTCAGCTGGGGCTGTGCTGGTGACCAGCATCTCTGGGGACACTGGGAGAGGGGCTGGGAATCTCTGGACACAACAGCCTGATCCAGCTCATCCAGGGAAAGGCAGAGAACTGCCAAACACTGCCTTGTCTGCTGGTGTTCTTGGAGGAAGCTGAGGTTTGAGGAGGTTGCTTGCAGGATGAACTCTCACCCAGGACATGGGAAAGGAGGAGTTGCAGTTTCAGGGTGTTTCTGTTCTTGCTCCTGTCCTGCTGTGGCACTTGTTGCTGTGTCTGTCTGTAAGTCCGTGCAGCCCATGCCAGGCACTCTCCTGGGTTTTTATTTTTGCATTAGCTCACGCAAGAGGGATGTGAGAAAAACCACTTGTTCTCCAAAAATCTCCTCTGGAGCAGATTTCCTGTGTTTCTTGTGCCACTTTGGTTCTGCCTGAGCGGGGGCTGTGGGTTGCTGACCTGTGCTGTGTTCATGCCTCTTGGTTTGGTGCACTGAAATCACTTCAATAACCTCGTTCCTTTCTTGGATTATCTTTGAAGTGAAGTCCACTCTTCCTGTGTAAAATGACTTCTTGAAATGTTTGTACGATGAAAGAAACATTTGCTATTTCTTTGCTTCCTACCATTCAGGTCTTTTAAATGTAGTTATCCTCACCATCTTACTGGCTCTGGCAATAGTTTAATAGTTTAAGAACTGGTCAGTTCTTGAAAATAGGCTCTTCAATGCATCTTTGGACCATGACCAACGCTGACCAACATTGGCACCATTGAAATTCCGGGGAAAAGACAAAATTACGAAATGACACCATGTGGTTTCACATATTCCCTTGTAGCTGAGGGTTCTGCTTGATTTCTGCTGCTCTGACTTCTTTTAATTTCAGCTCCTTCTGTGGGTTCTGTGGCTGACTACTTCTTGTTTGCTCTCAGAAATGGGGTGCAGTTCTGTGGAGTTGAATTCAGTAATTCAATCCCTGTGATGTTTTTTTTTTCCCATTCCGTGACTGAGTCGCTTCCCTCCCCGCGTGTCCCTGCCAGGTCAGCGCAGTGAAATCTCTCACATTAGAACCAATTTGATTAGAAAGATGCAGAAGTGAAGCAGGTCAGCCCAGGCAGAGGAATTTAAGGCATAAAAGGTGAGAACCCCAGAGTATTTGTGCTAGAATGAGCTGAGGTAACTTGCAGCAAGGTGTGTCCTTTCCTAGAGCTTTCCTGGCACATTCTCAGATAATAGGTGGCCATTTGGAAAATGCCCAAAATACTGACAGTTGGGGGAAAAATGTTGGATAATGGGTCATTTTTTATTTTTTATTTTTTTTTCACCTCCTGTCTTGTCTTATTTGCTGTTAATTTGTGTAGTGAGCTGTTTTGATGACCAGACAAAAATTCCTTTAAAAAATCCCAGGGAAAGTGTTTTAGTTCTGGCTGAGCAGGTGAATTTTTCATGATTTTCACAAGACTCCTTTGACAGCCCTGCTGGTCTCGGAGATTTCATTGGCTTGGCAGGAATTATTTGCACTAACTAAACATGAAAAGCCATTTACAGTGCTGGAATTGGAGCCTGAACTCTGGTTTAGAACTGGGAATGCATTTCAGACCTGCTGAGTTGTTCTTGGTTTGTGTGCAGGGACTGGCCAGGACTTTGGGAAGTGCCCAGATAACATTTTTTGAAAGTCACTTTTAATATTACTATTAAAACATAATTTGCAGCAGCATCTGGAGTGGTTTTAAGCTCTACAAATGTGGTCATTAGGGTGATCTGCTAAAGACAAAATAAAGGAGAGGAGAAACAAATATTCTTCAGTATAAAAAAGTCCAGTGCTTCAAATCCAAAGCTATGTGGATAAAATATTAGGTGGTTTTGGAAGAGCTACCACTGTGACAAAAACCTGATCCTCCCCCTGGTTCATATCTATTCTTTGGGGTGCTATTCCCTGGTTTAACTGGTGTCTTAAGAGAGAAATTCTTTATTGTGAAGTTTTATTGTAGAAATATCTATTGCAGAACAAGTGAGTTTATTATTCTCTTGGCCATAAAGAGCCAAAAGACAAACGGTTAAAGGGAGTCCCACATTATTTTGGGGGCCCTTAACAAGTGATGTGGGAAGCCTTGAGTATCTTACAGCTTAGAATTAAATTTCATCTACTTTTTAAAGCCTCTTGAATGGAGTTGGAGTTAATTTGTAGTCAGGCTTGCCAGCTCTGTGGCTGAGGCACTGGGAGGATTGCTGGTCTAATGTGCCCTTTGGCAAGCAAGTAATCCCTCCTTCCATTTATTTCTATTACTTTGGCAAAGATAATAATTTCTGTCCTTCTTCAGAGGGTGTATAATAATGAGGTTGTGAAATTTTCCTCCTGTGAAAGGCCATAAACTTGGTGCTGTAGAAATGATCAGTGTTGCCATTGGTAATTTTGGTGTTTCAGAGGAGAGGTGTCTGAAAGCCAAGTAGGAGCATGGCAGGGATGCTGCTGCAAAATACATTTTAGTAGTGATACTGAAAAAAAAAAAAACCCAAAATACTTGAATTTAAAGCATAACAAAATGGCAGAAGATCCTGCTGGTTTTGACAATGTGCTTAGAAAATACTGAGGTGTTTTTGAAACCCCTCTCAATCAGGAAGTCTCAGAGTGTACAACTGTGCTTGCACACGTGGATAAGAACATTAGGATCAACTCCAGGCTGCAGGAATTTAGTTCATCTGCATTAATAGCCTGAAACTGCTCATCACTGCGAGGCCATTTGCTCAGTGAAGATTTAATAGAGCTTGCCAGGGATTAAGTTAAATGTGGCAGGCAGTTATTTTCTAAAGGAGGAACCTGCAGAGGGGAGAAAAACTTCAGTTAGGCAAAAATCTCCTGGCCCTGCGTATTCTGGTGAGTTGGGACGTGTTAGAACTTGGATTTGTAAGGTTTATAGCAAACCAGACTGAAGGAAAACTGCAGTGGCCATCAAGTTCTCATATTATACCAAGCCCATTAAAAAAACCAATATAACCTGGTGGGTACTCATCAGTAATTAACTTCAGAATGACCAAAAAGCACCAAAACAAATGAGGAAGAGGCGAAGGAAATATTGAGATGATGGTTTTCTTTGGCTGTTTGCTTTTTTAGCACTTTGTCAGCAAAACTCTCCTTGGTCTTTCAGGCTGTGACATCAGAGGGATTAACACGTGTTGTCACACACAGAAGTAGCTGCAGACAGTTGGTTGTTGCACAAGACCTAAAAGAAATAGGGGAAACATCTTCATTTTTAGGGTACTGCTTTCTACATTGCATGCTTTGTGTTGAAAGGAAGACTTGTTGTCATCATGGCTTTCCATCCTTGCTTAGATTCCCTCAAAAGTTCCAAAAAAATGGGATTTAGTGTGAAGCAGGACAGAGCAGGATCCAAGCCCTTGGTGTTTGTTGTTGGAGACTGGCACGGCTGTAGCAACAGATGTGGCTTCACTGGGGTGAAAGTTTTCTGCTGTTCAGTTTCTTCCTTTTTGGGAATTTTGTACCTTATTTGCTACTGTTTCAAGGAATGAAGAATTCCATGGCAGTGTTGGGGGACTCGCAGGATGGTGGCAATCCAGAACAGATTGGCCTCGAGGGCAGAGGAAAAATGGGTTATTTTAGCACAAGAAAGTGGCTTCAGCAAAAATTTGATGCTCAAGCAGCCTCAGTTTTCTCAGCTGTGATGTGTTTATTTACTCTGGAGCGCTCGGGTGGAGTTTGTGCTTCCCTCTGACTGTTCTGTGAGCAATTTCCAGAAGAGTAGCATGGTGAGGTTAGCCAGGTATAAGGCCAAAGAATTTTTTTTGGATGGTGGAAATAAAAATGACTCGTAACACCTTTGAAAAGTATATCTCAGGAAGTCCTAAATTGTATGAAAATTATAAATTTGATCTTCATAAAACCGGTCTGTTTGACAAAACAAAAGATGAAATACTGCTTTTCTCTATGTAGTATCTGTTACATTATCAAATTAGGGTAGATGAACTGTCTTAATTATGGTTGTTTATAGATTTTCCTGCCAAACCAAACTACACAAAAGCAAGGTAAGATCATCAGCTATTTGCAAGATAAATATATATATATTTTTTAGAAGGGGGAGGGAGTGTATTTACAGACTGAGTTGTAGTGAAACCTTCAAGTGCAAGATGGTGACTTGATAGAGGTGCACGTCCCGTACCTGGTGTTAAATATTCCTCTTTTTCATCCTAGTTTCCACTGGCTCACTTGCTCAGCAGTATGCCCACCCTAATGCTACCCTGCATCCGCATCCTCCGCATCCTCAGCCTTCTGCCACCCCAACTGGCCAGCAGCAAAGCCAACATGCTGGAAGCCACCCTGCTCCAAGCCCCGTGCAGGTAACACAGCCCTGAGCGGCTCCAAATTGAGTTTAATTGTGTTTAAGGGGTTTTGAAGCTGACTGGTGCTTGATGTTGATATATTGATTTCTCTGAGAGGAAAAAGAAGCAGAGTCCGACCGCTCATTTCTCCCTGTTCACAGGGGATGGGAGATGTTGCAGTTTAAGGATTAAGGAAGGATCATAAGTGTGTCAGTGCTTTCACATGAGTGAAGTGGAAATAGCAGATAAATGCTGAGAAGTGTTTGGTTGGATTTTGTCAAAGCAACTGAAAATAAAGTGGTCCTTGGAATAGTGCTGCATTCCTGGATTCCCTCCTGGGAATAACTGGCTGCAGCTGTGAGGCATTCCCACCTCCAGGTTCTCCATGGTTTTACCTGATAGTCTGGGTTCTGTTTGCCAGCAGAAGCTGAGCCTGGTGGGGGTTATAAAGAGTTTCCCCATGAGCACAGGCGATCCTAAAGATTCGCCATTTACGTGTTCGGAACTGAGAGCAGTTTCCCTCTCCTTTCTCCTTAACAGGATCAGTGTAATTCCTCAGCCCTAACCTAAATGATCTCTGTGTTTTCTTGCAGCACCACCAGCACCAGGCTGCCCAGGCCCTGCACCTGGCCAACCCCCAGCAGCAGTCGGCGATTTACCACGCAGGTCTAGCTCCAACCCCTCCTTCCATGACGCCAGGCTCCAACACGCAGTCTCCACAAAACAATTTTCCTACAGCACAACAAACAGTCTTCACCATTCATCCCTCCCATGTTCAACCTGCATATACCAATCCGCCACACATGGCCCATGTCCCCCAGGTAAACACAGTTTAACAACCTTCAAGACTAAATGTCTTAATGCCACAAAAGTTAGGACAGTCGGGCCTGCTGAAGTGATTGCCAATCTGTCACCTCTCAGCACAGACTTACCTGTTGTTGTTATTTAGGTTTCTGTCTGTACATTGCCTTTATCTAGAATTTGACAAGGTGTATTTGGACCTCAGCTTCCAACACCTAGTGCATCTGCAACTGTAGTTTAATGAAGACATCTTAAGCTGGCACTGCTACTGAAATAAATTGAGCTCTCTTCCCAGTTCCTGGCTCCCATCCTTGTCCCTGCCCCACCACTCTGCTCACAGAACTGCTTGGCCATGGAGCAAACCAGGCTGGGGACACGATTCAGCTGAAATGTGCCTCCCCCACCCCCTTTTTAGGCTATTTCTTACTCAGATTGGTTCCCTGCTGAGTCAGGTGCCTGATCCCAGGAAGAGCTGGCATACAGAAAGGTTGGAGGTGGGAGCTGAGTGCAGAAAGGCTGAGCTGCTGCTTTTGGTGGCAGTTTCAGGCTCTGCATCGTAGACAAATTTTACACAAATGCATCCAGAAAAGGACATGAGAGGATTTCCAGGGAGTAGCAAAGCAGTGCAGGGAGGGAGGAGAGAGTTAAGGTGACTGCAGGACAATCCTTGCAGAAAGAAGCCTCTGTGTGTGTGGTGTGTGTGTGTGTGTGGTGTGTGTGTGTGGTTCTAAATGAGCTGCTTGTGCTGAAGATCCCCAAAGATTGTTGGGCAAGCTAAAACAACAGTCTTTGCTTCAGAATCAGAAACTCACTTCTCTTAACTGCTCTCTTGTGGTCAGCTCCCTGAGAAAAAGGATTTGGGGAGGGGAAGCACATGATAGATTAATCAAGAGCTCTGTGTAAAGCAGTGTGACAGAGATTTTCTGATGTTTTCTAAATCTCCTGGATTTAGTGTCCTTTGTCAAGGAATGGGCAGTTCAATCAGTAATTTGCCTGAACAATTTCTTCTTCAGACCAAGAACTTGGTGTCTGGCTTCTGCCTTCTCTTACAGGTTAACAATAGTTTGGGATAAAGTGACTAACTATGATTAGGGATGTTAATCTGACAGGTTTCCAGTCCCTTGCAGAATTCTGATAAAATCTTTGCTTTGGTCCCTGGGACAGTCATTTAAGCCAATAAATCAATAGTTCTTTAGGAATCGTTTTACTGATGTTGAGTTTTTAGCTTTTTGATTCTCTTAAGCTTTTGATTTCTCTGCTTTTTTTTTGGGGGGGGGGAGGATAAGGCGAGGATGGCCAAAGCTGATGATTGCTGTGGCATCTTGGCATGCCCTCCCCTTCTCTGGTTTCTGCCAGAAACAAGACTCCTGCTCTGCTCTGGTGTGAAGGCACTGCTGTGAATGCCTGGGTTGTGTTTAGAGCTTCTCAGAGGGGTCTTGGCTTAGTGGCATGCCCAGTGCTGTGATTTGAAAGATGAAACATTTGTTTGAAGGCCATGAAAGGGTAAAGTTGTGCCTGAATTGTGCCCTGGCCAGGCCAGGGATGCAGGATGTGACCATTGCCTTCCTTTCTGTGTGCCAAGCAAACCAAATTAAACAAATCAGATGCAACTTTGAGTCAGAACTGACTGCTCAGGCAGGACTTTTAGCAATCACAGACAAAGCCTGCCTTGCCCTTGATTTTAACTCATGCAGTCTCCTCTGCAATTTTTTTAGAACAAACGCTGCAATTTGTGATATTTACACCAAACTAATTGACTTTGCCAATGAAGTAGTTCCCTCAAAAATCTCTAGTGAAGGCATAACTACAGTTCTGTCAGAAATTTTAAATGCATGTAATTATTCCAGTGTGGGGAAACTAATCACTGGATTTAATAGTTTTTTAGCAGCCTCATTCCCAGCTTCTAAACACAATTCTGAAATACCACGTAGTAAAAATTTCAGTTAGGCCAACACAGGGGATCAATCCAATTTCCCTTCAGGTTATCAGATGAATCTTGAGCTGGTAGATATCTCACTTGAGAACCAGTACTTTAAAATTCATTACAGAGTGCTGTCAGCTGCCAATTTGCAAAGTGTTTGAGCCACAGCAGAAAAATTTTATCCACTGTGTGTATTGACTCCAGCTGCTCTATGAATAGCTGCTTTATAATGATGGCTTCTACAATAGCATGTTTGTCAAAGTCAACGTGGAGCCAGTCCTGGGAGGTGTTTCTGTTCCACAGCCTGATCTCCTAAACCTTTTTTAGAGCAAGAGTGAGATTTGAATTGCAGTTCCTGCCTTTAAAGGCTTCTGGGGTGCTACTAACACGTGCAAGTCTGATCAAAGAGTTTGGGGAATGTCTGTGATGAGTCAAGTAACCCTTTTTGTCTTTAAGAAATAAAATTCTGGCCACTACCTGCTATCTGTCTTTACTGGCATGGGAGACCTGTGAGGCTGCAGTTCTGGGATATGGTAGAAGGACAAAGCAAACCTTAGGTACAAATGATGGGGTTTTGGGGCTTTTTTTTTTTTTCCCAGGAGAAATCCACTGAGAGCTCTGAATTCCTTTGTGCTTTTAAGAAATTAACGTTTGCTAGGTTTTTAAATAAAATAAGTTGATGACCTCTAGAGACACAAACTGCTCTGAGCTAAAGAACCCACCAAGTTCCTGAAGTTGTTTGCCAGAGGTGATCAGCCATGGGAAGGATTAATCTCCTTTTCCACGGAGACTTAGCCCTGATTGCTCAGATTACACAAGAACTGCGATGAGCTGAACTGGAAGCAGAACAAAGCTGCCCCGAGAGTGTGAAGGGATGAAATCACTCATGTCAGGAGGACTTGGCTGAGCACTGTGTGGGCACAGGTCACTGGAGAAGACAGGGAGGTTCCCAGGGCAGGGAGCCAGGAGAAAACGTGGGGTTGTGCAAGGAGAGCTGGGGAGAGGATGCCAAACTCCCAGTGCCTGTGAAGTTCCTATCTGTACCCTCTAGGAAGTGCTTTGATGTAGGTGACTAACAAATGTTTTGAAGATTTGTTGCTGAATTGTTATTTTTTTTTTTTAATACCCACCCCTGTTTAATGCTGGCAAAATGGCTAAAATTGAGACCGCAACTCAGAGCCAGCAATATGGACTTGAGCCCTTTTTTTAATTATTATTTTTCCTTTTTGTTGTTATTATTATTATTTTTTTTTGTGTTACAACCTCTACCTTAACCCCTAACCTAGCTGAAAAAAAAAAAATAAAGCTCCGGATTTGCAGCCGGAGCGAACTTTCGCCAGTCATGTGGCCAGGAGTTGCTGCCTCCTTGTGACCATGATACTAAAGAGCTCTTTGTTTCAGGCTCATGTACAGTCAGGAATGGTTCCTTCTCACCCAACTGCCCATGCTCCAATGATGCTAATGACGACACAGCCTCCCGGTGGTCCCCAAGCCGCCCTCGCTCAAAGTGCACTACAGCCCATTCCAGTCTCGACAACAACACATTTCCCCTATATGACCCACCCTTCAGGTGAGGAGTGTGTGCCCGGGAGACCTGCACCCTAACTCAGCCAGGTCGAGGAGTGAGAACTGGGAGAAACCAGATTTTTGGGGAAAAAAAAAATAAATAAATAAAAAATTTAAAAAATATCAAACAAACAGACCAACCTTAAGATGTCCTTGTGTTTGGCGGCTGCGCTTCGGCAGCCTAGAGGAGCGTAGGTTTAGCCGGTGAGCTGTACCTAATTCAGGGAATATTCTTGGTTTTTTTCTCTAGCTGGAGTAGAGAAAAGGATAAGTGTGAGACACTGGCACTGTGGGACTTGAGTTTTGCAGGTGTTGCCGTGGATTTGCCGTGGGGGATGGACTGTGTGGAGTTTATAATGATCGGAGGTTTGATTAAATCTCGAGGACAGGAGTGAAAATGTTGTGTGGGGGTAGGGCTGCTAGGCTGCTGGTAAAGTAAAGTGACAGCTGAAATCTAAACTTTAATTCAGAGTAACATTCTGCAGCTTTTACTTTGGGGGAAAAGTAGGAGTTGTGTGACTTCTTTCCGCTTTAAATTTAACCTTATTTAGGCTTCTTTGATTATTCAAGTTCAAACAGCCTCTGAACTTCTGTAGTGATGTAGTTTTACCTGATGTTTCCTGGGGAATGTGTGAGCAGAACAAAGCTGCTTTCTGAGGGCTTAGGTAGGGAAAAAGGAAAAAAAAAAATAAAGCATCCCAAGGACATCTTGATTTGCAGGGCTTTGTTTTGTTCTCTAAAAAAAAATAAAAGAAAAAGAAAAAAAATAAATAAAAGAAAGTTGAGCTCAGTAGTTGTCCTGTGACCACTTTAGTAGCAAACTGTTGTGTGGCTTGCCAATTTATTATTTACATTTGAACTTTTTTTTTACAGTACAAGCCCACCACCAACAGCAGTTGTAAGGCTCATCTGGAATAACTGAAAGGCTGGATACCTTTTGTAGGCCAAATACCCTCCTTCTACTGCTTCTGCCAACTGGAAGCACAGAAAACTAGAATTTCATTTTATTTTGTTTAAAAAAAAAAAAAAAAAATTTGATTTCTTGTAACATCCACTAGGAATGCTAACAGTTCATCTTGCAGTGGGAGAGATTCGGACTGAGTAGAGGCATTTAGGAACTTGTGGGCTATTCCATAATTCCATGCACTGTATCTGAGTCCTGCAAGTGCCCCAACTCTGCTTGCTGAAAACTGGAAGTTATTTATTTTTTAATGACCCTTCAAAGTTATGAACTCGTCAGCTAGCAAAAGAAGTAACAAGAGTGATTCTTGCTGCTATTATCACTAAAAATCAAGACTTGGAGATCCCTTTTACTTCTAACTAAACTTGAAACAGGTTCAGTAAAAAAAGAAAAAAAAAGAATTCTAATCGTCAAACGGATGAGTTATTATTTATAAATCACGTTTGATGAGATAATCACTATCGTGAGACAGTGATGTAACTTTTAAGTTAAGAAAACTTTTACTTTGTAGATAATATAAAATAAAAACTTAAAAAAAAAAATTAAAAAATAAAAAAAGTTTTAAAAACTGACCTTCCTCGGTGTTTGTGTGGTGATTTTTGAGTCTCTTCCCTTATCAGCTGCTCCAGCTCCCATCCCAACTGGAGCCAGGATTTGCCCTGAGTCTGTTTAGTGCTGCTGCTGCTGCTGCCAGGAAAGGCCTTTAAGGTGATGAAAGTGTAAAAGTCAGTGGTGCTGCTGGAGAAGGAGAGGAAGGGTGAGAATTCCCTGGCAAAATGCCTTAAAAAGATGTGGAGACAAAGTTATCTGTGCTCCAGGTGCCATGTCCCCGCTGCAGGCATCGTCCCGTGGGGACAAACCAGAGGATTTTCATGTCCAAGGGAGATTTATTTCTGCCTTTTAGCATCCAGTGTCCACTAAAACGATCAGAGAGAATCAGACTGAAGACCAGAGGTGAGAAAAAAAGTTCTAAAACCGGTTTATTAAGAGCAGATTTTTATTTTTATTTTTTAATATTACGGTAAAATTGCATTATTCAAGAATAAGTTACTTGTACAGTACATACAGAAACAATATATAGAAAAAAAAAAAATTACTATACAAGAAGAACTTTTCTGTGCAGGTGAAAAGTAGAACTTTCAAATTAAAACACTCCCAACAAAATTGTTGGCTTTAATCGTCCTGCTGAAGGCTGACCTAGGGAATACACAGTCTCATCCCTGCCTCTGGGAGCTACTGGGGAATTTTGGGGCTGTTTGGATCTGGATCTTGGTTTGGGATGCTGGGTGACACCGGGGTTTGGTGGTCCAGGTGAAGAATGAGAAGCTTTGGCTTCTCCCTGGAGTTTTTTTTCCTGGAAGTTTCACCCCAAAACAGCTCCAATCCAAAGGGATGGGTGAGGAATGCTGGTGTCAGTGTTCGGTACCTGCTGGTGCTGGGATTTGGGAGGGAAGGAGGGAGACATCAGCTAATGCTTCAGGTGTCAGGAGCTCCTTCAGAACCTGCCACCCTTGGGGACACAGAGGCCACCAAGCAGGAGCAGCTGTCAGCAAACAGCAAGAGGAAGAGGAGGGGGAGGAATTCTGACCAGACCCAAGTCTTGGGTTGTTCCCTAAATGAGGTCCCTGCTGTCACAGGGCAAAGGCACTAAAGTTTACATCTTTATTGCTGAAAACTGTCCTGAGTAGCTGGGTGAAACGGGGCTGTCCCCACCCCCAGCCTCTCCTGGGGGAGGCCATGGGGCAGGCAGGGCCTCCAGCTCAGCTCCAAGAGCTGCTCCTGTGGCTCCTGCCTGCCTTAGGTGGGATCCAAACTCGTGTTCCACCTGCCCATCTCCAGGGCCAAGGCACAAACCTGGCTTTATTTCTGCACCTCCACAGAGCCACGCAGGGCCCCCTCCTCCCAGAACTCAATATATAAACACCAATAAAAATCCCACAGGGGCTACAAAAATCCTGCCAAATGCTTCTATTCCATAGGGTGGAACGGATTAATGCTCTTTGCCTGCTGCTGTGATGCAGAGGAGCGAGTATCCTAGGGCTGGAGCAGAGTCAGGCTCTGACCTGTGTCACAAGCCAGATGTTTTCTAGGAGAAACGGGATTTCAAACTCAGTCCCCCCTGGGAGTTTGGGAAATAGCCCAAAAATCCCTTCAGGTCCTGCTGCAGCGGATCTGAAATGAAATGAGGAGATGGTGGAGCTGGGAGGGCTGGACTGGGCTGCCTGTGGCTGAGTTTGGGGATGGAATTAACTCTGAAATAATCAGAGGGACTCTCCCACTGCTCAGTGGTGGGGAGATCAGGAGTTCTCCCCCACTGGAGTTTGTTTGCATGGGGGAAGTGGCTGGCGGGGAGATAATGAACCCAACGTGTATTTTACTAATCAAGCACAGCAATTGCCATTTAAACTGCGGAGAACCCCCTTGTAATTAAACTGCAGGTTAAAAATACCACATGCACACGCATGTTTCAGTTCTGGCACTGGAACAATAAAGTCCTGGTGTGCCAAAACAACCCACCCCAGCAGCATCTGATTTATCTGGCAAGGATTTCTCTGGATTCATCTGGCGAGGGATGTGAATAGCGCTGCCTTTTCCCAGCCCATCCTTTCTTTGCAGATGTAGGGGAGATTCGGGTGATTCCACCTCGCCTTTTGGGGGGAAAACCCCTTTGAACGCAGCTCCCTGGAGCTCAGCGGGATTAAAACAGGAATCTCAGCGAGATTTAGCACATCCCTGTGTTTTCCAAGGCTTTGGGAAGCGGGCAGCAAGCGAGGGAAGGAAACGACATCTCGTGCTGTGCCGTCCCCCCTTCCCATCCCCATCCCTGTAAATGCAGGAGCACGGGGAGTTATTTATGAGCCTCGGAGGGAGCTGCCTCGCCTGGCACAAGGGGATGTGCTCCTGCCTCTGGCTGCAGCCTTTGTGCTGCTCCAGGGAGGAGAATGGGATGCGGATACAGCTGAGGAGCCCGGCGAGGACAGGGCTGGCTTTGTTCCTCCCTCAGCCTCTCCGGGGCTGCAGGACCAGCGCAATTTGCTCTTAATGCTCCGGTTTCAGGCACGAGTGTAGAGAAAGCAGGGAAAAAAAAAAGCCTTTGCCTGCTCTAAATGCACAAATCCCAGGAGAGAGCAAGAGCAAGCAAAGGGGAGGCACAAAAGGAAAACCTAAATGGTTTCTCCAGCTGATGGTTCTCTCTTCTCCCAGCCTCGCTGATTTATAAACCCAGATTTGCTCTCATGGCTGATTCCTGGGCTGTTTGGCCCCGGATATTTTGGCCCTTCAGCTCCTGACCTTGTCTCCTTGGACTTTGGGCTCACCCAGAACCCGCTCCACACCAAAGCCTGTCCTAGAGGCTGGATTTTTGTGGAATTCCCTAACTCAGCCCAACGAGGTTTTTGCATTTTCTGGTTTTCAAATGAATTGCTGAATGTTAATGCTCCTTAGGTCTCCCACCTGTATTGCAATTTCAAGGAAAACAGAAATAAAACAGCTTTCAGTAAGGCAATCTCAGGGCAAGTTTTACATCCAAAATCCCAGGGAAGGCTGCGCTGGGAAATCTGGAAGTTGAATGCTGTGAACATCCCCTCCTGTGTGGCGCAACGGCTCCAGCCCTTCCTCTTTCCTAAAATAAGGGCAGCTTCTCAGAATTGCTTCCTCTCCCAGGGCTGCCCCAGGCAGGTGAAACAGCCCCAGGGGCTCGGGAACAGCAGCAGAGTTTGGGGACAGTTTGGGATCAGGGGATGCCGAGACCCAGGGATTTGGACAAGCTTTTCCTCCAGGTGAGGAGGTGTCCCCAGGGACCCCCATCACCTGATGGCTGAGCTTTAAATGCCACCAAGCTCCTGGTGACAGGAGTTTTGGGGGGAGGAAAAAGACAACCAAGAGTAGGGGGGGGTTCTTTAGGGGTAAAACTGACTTTAAGATTTGTGCCTAAAATCACTGGGATGAAACGGTTCCATCACCGGGATAAAAACTCATTCACCACAGGGATAAAAAAGCCTCCACCACCGGGACAGAACGCATCCATCACCAGGATAGAACGGGATAAACCCCTCCCTCTCCAGCAGGAGTGGTTTGTGTCAGTCTCTGTGTTAGTTCTCGGCTGGTGCCATAGCTGAGGATGGAGCAATTAGTGTTGAGTCTCAATCAGCCGGGACAGCAGGATGAGGATCCCTCTGGCTGGCGCAGGGAGCGACCACGGCTGTGCTGGGTTAAGAAGGAAAAGCAAGAAAAAGCCAGTTTTTGCTTTAGCTAAGAAAAAAACCCCAAACCCTGCTCATCACCCTTTGTGGGAGCTCAGCTCAGGTCGGGCTTTGCTGGTGGCTTCAGCAGCCGGGACGGGAGGACGAGGCCTGGAGCAGCAACTTGGCAATGAATTTATAATCCTTTTTTTTCTTGTTATCCTGGTTTTGTTTTAAACTTTCTCCAATTCCGTGGGTGTAACACAAGCCCCTGGTTCCTTGGCTGGGCTCTGTCGTGTCGGGGACAGGCAGGACACCGGGCCCGGCGCAGGCACGAGCGGCATTGTGTAAACAGTAATGAAAAAGCTTCGATAAGAACAACAAAAATAACAATAAGAGGCCCTTTAACAGGCCCACGAGAGGGAGCACACCCGTACAGGAGTGAAAAATTACCCCCTTCCTTTGCAAAAATACAATAATAATCCCTAACCAGAAGGAAGAAACAGGTACATTCTTTCTCTCGATGGATCCCCCAGAAGGTCTCCAGGATTTCTCCACCCGAAAGTGCATCCCAGTGCCGGCGCCGTGCTGGTCAGAGCGGCGTGTACTGGTTGTCGATGGCACGGACGTGGCCCCGGCCCGGTGCCTCCACCTCATAGTCCGAGTCGCGGGGCCGGGCCGTGGTGGCCGTGGTGGCCGTGGTGGCCCTGGCCGGGCGCAGGTTCTGAGCCAGCTCTGCCGGTGGTGGCACCAGGTGGAAGATCTGCTCCGCTGGGGGACCCCCGGGGGGCTCATCGGGGCCGTGTGGGCAGGAGGAGCCGGTGGGGATGAGGCTGAACTCGGGGTTCCAACCGGGAAAGGGCAAGGGGAGGGGGACCGTGGTGCTGGAGCCGGGAGCTGCGGGCGGAGGGAGGAGATGCTGGTCAGGGGGATGCTCCTGTCGCCCTCTCTTTGGGGCTGTGGGGTGCATCCCATGACCCCACCCCTCCCCGCGGCCCGTGGCTGGGAGCAGCTTCTCCTTTCACAAAAGAGGAAGCCGGGAGTTTGGGAGTCACCTTTTGTGCCGCTGATCCGAGGCTTCCTCTTCCCCGCTCCAAAGGGCCCAGCTCTGCCCAGCCCCGGAGCATCCACACCCGCCCCGGGCACCCTCCATCCCCTATCCCGCGGGAACATCCCCCTTCCCGCACACCTTGTGCCTGGGGCAGGACCACCACGTAGCTGGAGAGCCGGACATCGCAGGCGGTGCCGCACTCCAGCGGGATGGGGTAGCGGTGGAAGTGGTGCAGCATCTCCACGATGGAGGAGAAGCGGAGGTGCTGGACACGGCACTGGCCCCACTCGGTCAGCGCCAGCCGCAGGTGCTGCGGAGAGCAGCGGGGACCTGTTACCCTCCCTGCACCTCCCTCCTGCGGGACGCCAAGGGGATATTTGGGATGGGGGACACGAAGGGCTTTAGCACCATGGGCTGCATCCCCGGCCTGTGGCTCCCTGGGGATTTTGCCCGCTGGGAGAAGGGCACTACTGGGGGCAGAGAGCAGCAGAGCATCTCTCTCTGGGACAGGAGCTGCCCCAGGGGCTTCCTGCGAGATTCCCCTCCCCATCCCAGCCCTGTCCCGCCCGTACCTTCGCTCTGCCCTGGAAGTTGAAGGTGAGCACGTACTCGCCGCGCCGCGTCTCGCTCTGCCGCACCAGGAACACGCCGTGGCCCTCCAGCCCCCCCAGCTGCACCAGCTGAGCCGCCTTCACACGGGAGATGGGCCCGTGGAACCAGGGGCAGGAGGAGAGGAACTGCTCCATCTTCGGCCCCGCAGCCTCCCCCGGGCCCCCCGGCGTCGCCCCTGCCAGGCACAGGGATCAGCGTCCCTGGGAAATGGGACCCCTGCCCATCGCCCCCGTCCCTTCCCCTCTCTGTCCTCCCCTCCTGCCGTTTGGGGAAGGCCGATCAGCCCAGCCACGGCAGGATGTGCTGATCCCCCGCTGTCCCCAGGGTCCCCTGGGTGTCCCCAGCTCACCTTGGCTGAGGGTGTCGGTGCTGGTGGTGGGGCTGGCGGCTGTAGGGTCGGGGTGTCGGCACGTCAGGAGCTCAGGGTCACCCGTGTCAGACCTGCTGGGGACAGGAGAAGCCAGGCTGAGCGCTGGCAGTGGGGACACAGAGCCACTGTCCCCATGCCCAGGCTCGGGGACATCCAGCGGGCGCTTACCCCCTGCGCACACACTCCCGGATCTCGGCCGTCCAGCAGCTGAGCTGCTGCTCATCCCCTGCCTCAAACAGGATGTCGGTGGCATTGGTGACCTGGGGGACATCAGACAGAGCCATGGGGTCTTCAGAGAGAGAGAGAGAAGCGCATCCCCCACCCACCCACCCACCCATGCTCGGGACAGCGCATCCCCCACCCTG